TCCCACGTTCAAAGGCTGTTAAATTGTGTTGTTTACCCATATCTTCAGAAAAAAAAAATCACTTCTGTTGTGGTAAACAACCTGTTTCCCTATTTATAATGGTCTGGCCCTCTAGCAACTTAAGCGCGAAATTAAAGTTAATTTGCCTACAAACGTCAGGTGGTCATAATAATCTGGCCACCCAGTGTATATATATATATCACATATTATTATTCATTCATCTATCATGGACACTTGGGTTGCTTCTATATGTTGGCTATTGTAAATAATGCGGCAGTGAACATAGGGGTGCCTATATCTCTTTGAATTAGTGTTTTTATTTTCTTCGGATGCACCCCTATGTTCACTGCAGAATTATTTACATTAGCCTTTTTATGTTAAATTTAAATACTTACTTTCAAACCTCAACATGGTTCTCATTCTAAGATTGTTAATCTAACTTGTTTATAATTTTTTCTGGTAATGAAAAATGCACTTCCATTCTCTTTACCTAAACCCTTAAAAATTTTAGCAATAATAGGTCTTCCTAAAAGGCAGATCAACATAAAGGAAAGAATAGGGCCTCTGTTCTTTAAAAATTGTTGTTTGAAATCCAAAAGAATTCTTCTTAGACATTTCCTGACTGGCAGCCATTGGTGGAAAGGAGAGAAAAAAAGGATGGGGTTCATAAATACCATGTTAATAATGACAGTTTTGACCCATTTCAATCCTAGGTTCATGAGTCTGTAATAGTAGGCAAGTTATCATACCTTCTCTGGAACCCTTTCTCTTCTCTTGGGAAATGATAATGATGGTACCTACTTCATAGAAAGTTAGGTTTTTATAAGCACATAGTATAGTGATTGGCACATAGAATGTACTCAACAAATGTTAGTTCTCTTCCATTTTCATCTTTTTATTTAAATCATTATCCAAGGATCCCCCCCCCCCCCCATTGATTTTTGGAGAGAGTGAAAGAGAGGGAAGAGGAGGAGAGAGAGAAACATTGATGCGAGAGAGACACATTGACTGGTTGTCTCCTGCACATGCCCCAAGGTTCATGCCCTTGCCCGGGAATTGAACCTGCAATCCTTCAGTCTGTGGCCCAATGCTCTAACCACTGAGCAGCCCTTCAGGTTCCATTTTCATCTTAATTTCCCTAACTTAATTCTGAAATATTGGTAAATTAGTTCTAAATAACTTTTAAGGAAAGTGCTGACCCCATAAGAATTATGCTTAAAATAGTGAATGTTTGTTGATAGTAACTCAAAATAAATGAAAATATTTTTAACCTTCATCAGATAAATGAGCTAAATTTTCTTTCTTTGAACATGGGTATGGGTAACTCAGGTACTGTATGACAAGTGCTTTGACTCGTTGAATCTTTTTCATGTTAGGGTGAAAAGTGGACTAAGCAAACATTCTGCTTATTTTTAATACCTACTCTTCTGAGGTCATATTTGACCTTAAATATTTTCCCAAATTGATTTTAGTATACAGGTGTTAGCTCCAAGGCTTTGTTTGTACAGTTAACTACATCAAATTCAGCAAGTTAGTGTGGGTGTGGCAGGGATTTGAGAGATTAGGTGATTTCTAACTTCTGTTAATCAAAATATAACTATATTTTAGAGAATAAAAATAGTAACTATATCACTTGAGTTCATGAAGACTTAGCTGATTTTTAATAATTAATAAGTTTTTTCTGCCAATGAGCATTAAATTACTGCTGACTTTTTAGTGTCATAGTACCTTGTGGTAGTTTTTCTGCAGGGTTTAAAGGCGTATTCCAGTTTTGTTTTATTTTTCCTGTCCTGTCCAGAGGAAATAATCTTTACAAATGATACAGGGAGACTATTTCTAGAAGTCCATACATGCCATTAATATGTTATAAGGATCGGTCAGTCCCATTGTCTTCTTTTGTCAATCTTGATCGGAGCTTGCCGAGTAAGTCTATAAGCCTGCATGTGCCTGGCAACTGTTACCTAGTGACAGTTTCAGCTGCTGTAGCCATTGGCTGTGCTGTTGATTGGGGCAGGAGGACCGAGTCACCTTTCTGATGGTGAGTTCTTCTGCATCAGCTCAGGATGAGGAGGAGGAGCCGGGCTCCAGCTCAGGTGGAGGCAGTGATGCCGAGCGATTGTGAAGAATATCCTGACAGCATCCTGGAAGCTGCATCACAGTGAGTCGGACTTCTGAATCAAGCAGCTCATAACAGTGAATGTATGTGAGGAGCACTGCCTTATTCCTGTAGCAAGAGAACTATTTTGTAACAAGTGAAGCTGGGAATGTGCAAGGAGGAATATCCTGTGGCTGTTTTAAAAGAAGAAGGACTTCCCTGCATGACTTGGTGATGCACGAGAAAATAACTTTCAGAAGAGTGCCGCTGCATTGTTCCTGAGGAAGTCTGTGTTTTTAACCTATGGCATTTCTTCAAAAGGTGTGACAACAAAGGCTGACAAGCGACTCTCCGAAATGCCTATACTTTAAAAAAGACTTTTGACAATGTTAACCTTGTATCAGGACGACCTTGGAAGCCTGTTGGGTGGATTCATTCCTGCATTATTCCTTTCATTATTTCAGACTCTAGGATTTAAACTCATCTTGATGTGTTAGAGGTATTTTAAAACAAAATCATTTTACAACCTACCCAATGGCCCCTATGCTAATTGAGTACTTGCTCAAAATAGAATGCAGAAATAGAAGAGACATTTTAAAAAACATATGGCTGCTACATAACTGCAAATATAGCAAACAAGGTAAATTTCTACTTTCAGAAGATTTAGTTGAAGTTTCTTTATTGTGTTAATTATCTAATGAAAATAGAAAAGGCAGAGAAGTATAGATTATGCTGTCTACTAGAAATACCTAAGTAGTAAATAATGGCAGCTTTTCTAGTCAGATAAGCTCAGAGTAGATAGGAAAGTTTCCATTATTGTCTAAATTTCATGTAAATTCACAGATATATTTGAGACATAGGTGTGGTTGCAAGGTGAGCAATAACTTTGAGCTGTATATTTTATGGTCATGCTTCATTTTAAGGAAGGTGGCATATCAGACAATGAAAGTTAATGATGCTGAAATTAATAGCAAAATGATGTATTTTTCTTTTGAAAAGGAAGAAGTATAAATTACATTGTTGATGGTAGCACCAGTAACTGTAATATACTAAAACTGTTTGTTGTTTTTCTGAGCACTTAAAAAATGCATGCAGGATGAAAAGTTTGTCATATTTTGTCAGGTGTTAACCCATTACCTATTATCTTCCTACTGGAAATATGTATTGTTTTGTTTTTCGCATGAAAGCTATATGGCAATCTGGAGTCTGTTACCTCTGTTCTACTCCTTTGTGCCCAAATACAGATGAGTCTTTTGGAATTAGCCTTTTCCAGAAAGGGGGTAGTGGTGGCAGTTCTTAGCTTCTTAAAGAAATGAGAGAGAAATGGATCATAAAGTTGACCCACCAGCATCAAACCCTCAAATGAGCCTCAAAACACTTTTTGTTACAATGAACTTTTTCTTAGCTTTCCAGCCAAATCTGAGATCTTAATTATTTAAATTCTAAAATATGAATCCACTTCTTATGTTAGATGAAACAGGAAGCCTGAGACAATTTCAGACTTTTTCTTTTCTCATTCTTTCTAGTTGATCCTTAAGAAACAGCCTTTCTGAGGAGGACAAACAACCCACAGAAGCTTTTCTTCTCTTGGCAATTGCTTTTTTTCTTTTTGCAGCTTTAATTTTTTATTGTGCAAGGTAATAAATCCATTTTCTCTAGAAGTGCCTTGTGTCTGCAAAAAGTTGTTTGAGACCACCAGAGGATGCTAATGGTGACCTTTCCCCACCTCCGCTGTAGCTTATTCTCCTCCCTCTCCCCTTAAAACTGAGGTGTGTCACTGCTCACTGAGGCTGATGAAGAGACTTGAGTCCTTTCTGGGATGCTCAGCTGTGACAGAAGCACTGCCACCGTCTCCCGAAGCTGATTCTGAGACTCTCAGGTGCAGAGTTTAACAGATGCTGGCAGGGCACCGGCTTGCTGTAGCCCAGGCTGCAGGTTCCCTCAATTCCAAGCCATGAACGAATCCAGGTGGACTGAATGGAGGATCCTAAACCTGAGCAGTGGCCCTGTGAATGTGTCTGAGCGTCACTCCTGCCCACTAGGATTTGGCCACTACAGTGCAGTGGACATCTGCGTCTTTGAGACAGTTGTTATTGTCCTGCTGACATTTCTGATCATTGCTGGGAATTTAACAGTCATCTTTGTCTTTCACTGTGCTCCACTCTTACACCATTATACCACCAGCTACTTCATCCAGACGATGGCATATGCTGATCTTTTCGTTGGAGTTAGCTGCTTGGTTCCTACTCTCTCACTTCTCCACTACTCCACAGGTATCCACGAGTCACTGACTTGCCAGGTTTTTGGATATATTATCTCTGTTCTCAAAAGTGTTTCTATGGCATGTCTTGCTTGCATAAGTGTGGATCGTTATCTTGCAATCACCAAGCCTCTCTCCTACAATCAACTGGTCACCCCTTGTCGGCTGAGAATTTGCATTATTTTAATCTGGATCTACTCCTGCCTAATTTTCTTGCCTTCTTTCTTTGGCTGGGGGAAACCTGGTTACCACGGTGACATTTTTGAATGGTGTGCCACCTCTTGGCTCACCAGTGCCTATTTTACAGGCTTTATTGTTTGTTTACTTTATGCTCCTGCTGCCTTTGTTGTCTGCTTCACTTACTTCCACATTTTCAAAATTTGCCGGCAGCACACCAAAGAGATACATGACCGGAGGGCCCGGTTCCCGAGCAATGAGGTGGATTCCTCTGGAGAGACTGGACACAGCCCCGACCGTCGCTATGCCATGGTCCTGTTTCGGATAACCAGCGTCTTTTACATGCTGTGGCTCCCCTATATTATTTACTTTCTTTTGGAAAGCTCCCGGGTCTTAGACAATCCAACACTGTCCTTCCTAACAACCTGGCTTGCTATAAGTAATAGTTTTTGTAACTGTGTAATATACAGCCTTTCCAACAGTGTTTTCCGGCTAGGCCTCCGAAGGCTTTCCGAGACAATGTGCACGTCTTGTATGTGTCTGAAGGAGCAGGACACAAGAGACCCCAAGCCCAGGAAACGGGCCAATTCCTGCTCCATTTGAAGAGAACTGCCCAGTAAATCAAGTGTAATGGATAGTGGTTTGTGTTCATAGTCTTGATTCATCTGGAAATTTGCCACTAGAGAAATATTTACTTGAATAGTAATATGAGATGAAGGGACTAAAGGTTTCATTTTTTTCTCTTTTTTCATGGAGGAAAAAACTAAAGGAAAGGATGTATAGAGAGTAATCTCATGAGATAAATATAGTATGTGAGTGTCAATGTGCAGTAGTGGGAAAAATTAAGCACTGAGGATGACAAAAGTAAGGATGCGAGCCAAGCCCCTCGGTGTCTTTCTCTCTGATTGAACTCTGTCCTCTGTCTTTGTCTCTGATTCTTGTCTCTTTACTCTCATTGTGTTTGTGGAAATTACTTGCATCAATTTTCCTCTATAGAAAATTGCTACATATTATATATGTGGCAAAGTATAATCTTTGGCATCAAAGTGTACTTTTAAACACACTGATCTGAAATCCGTAAGTGGTCTCTCATGGATGTATAGTAAGCATTGTATGTTAGTACCTGCCACACAACCCTTCTGCTTGTGTTTTTATAATCTCCACAGCACGCATTTTCTGCCATGAGCAAAAAGAAACAGTATTTTTCTTTCATCAGGGTAAAATGATGCTCCCCTCCCCTGTATTCCTGCTGTATTTCCCTTTATCTGCATCCTTTGGTACCTTAATTCAGAAGTGTCTTAGCTAATGAAAGAATCTACTACATAGAGCAATCAAAATGTTAAATAATTTATTCCTTCCAACAAAGCAATCGATAACCAGTATGAGATATTATGTTAAATCTTTTTAATGGCTTTTAGAAACATTTTTTCTGATTTCTTTTAAATTCTTTCACATTCCCAAAGTGGTGTCCCTTTTGCTATATAGTAAAGCTTTGTTTTCCTTTAATACAATCAACAAATAATTCTAATGCAGATGGTGAGTACTCACCCGGAAGTGAGGCATTGCTCTTAAAGCTACTTGGTGTGTCTTTTTTTATTTTTAAGACTAAAATATTGACCTTTTTGTGTTAGGTTTACAAAACTTACTGTTCTGTCCACCAATCATTTGTGTAATATGCGTTTGCACATAGTATATTTTTTACAACAAAGAAAATGTAAATGACATTATGTGATCTGTGCCTAATGTTTTCTTAGCACAATATATAGATCAATGTTGCTTAAGTCACCAACATAGGGAAAAAATATACAAAAACTTATTTTAGTGAAAAAATACTTTTGTGTAGCTGTTATTTAGATATTTATATTAGACCAAGCTGTATTCTTAGTGCTGCTGAGAATATAATATACTTAATTATGAAATACAGGTGACAGCTTTCAGTATTTTCTTTTGTAATGATCTGTTTTCATATTCAGAGTTTAAATTCGCTTATTTTTTAGTGTGCTACATGGAATTGTGTAATAAATTGTCAGGGGTTTAGATGTAGCAAAATGGCATTTGGGAATTAGTAGTGAAGCAGGTCTGAGTGGTAAAACATCTAAATCTTACTTTTTTTAACCATAATTTTCCTGCCTGATAGATATTTTAAATTTTATATCAAACTACTACTGAGTATTTTTCTTCTCAGCATTTTTGATTTGTTTGTTTTATGAAATGCATTAATGAATGTGCCTACAGAAGCCAACCATGTTGCACACTGGTGGTTTGACTTCATAGGCCCTTTAGTGGAAATGTCATCATTCTATTGAGGTTGTTCTGAAACCCTGTATATTTTTTAAAATGTAAGAAAGGTTTAAAATAAATAATAAAATAGTATTCTATATATCAAAATCAGACTTTGCTCCAGTTTAATAAAATACTTAACTTGGAACAAGAGTTTACTTGTTTGGGATCAAAATTTAACTGTTTTATATTTCTGTGGTTTGGGTTGCTTACATTAATTCTTGTCCCCAGTTTGCAATTGGCATCTTGGAAAAGTTGAAATGCGCATTTTAAGTTTAGATCAGTTCAATGAAACATGATACTATAACTTTTCAGTGGTCATAAATAGGACCTTCAACATGTATTATTTGAGAACAAACACATTTTGATTCCTTAAGTTTGGAGTGTACATATAGTTAGAAAAGACTCAGTAGATGACCTGTATAGGAACCGTGAGGTCATGTTTATTGCATTTTCCTCTTCTAGCTTTTTCTCATAATAATTCTAACAACAGTTATGCGCCAGGCACCGTGTTAAGTTTTACATGTGACATTTAATCCTACTATGACTCTTTGAGATAGCTACTGTTATTCCCATTATAGAGAGGAGGAAACTAGAGAAAAGTGACTTATCCAAGGTCACTCAATAAAGTCAGTGTCAGAAGTTCAGTAACACCCAGTTGTCCTGGAGCGAAAGCCTGCACACTTAACCACTATACATACTCCCTCCACCTCCCCCCCTCCCCCCAAAAAAGCGCCTTCAAACCTTTGTACCTCTTTTCATACAAAAGTTCTCTTTCTTTTTTTCTCACCTAAATCTTTTGCTTCACTTCTTTTTCTGTTCTGGTGATATCTTTTTCCTTGATCTTACAAATCTCTTTGATGAAAACAGCAATTTTAATAAGCCCAAACTTGCCAGGTTAGTCTATAATCTGTAGTCTATAATCAAACTATTTTTTAAAATAGTAAAAGTGAAACCCCAGGCATGGCATTTCCTTGACATTACTTTTGTTTATTTTTGTTAAGTTTTCCTTGAATAGCTTTTTAAAATCTCTATAAATTTCTTATTGAAAGAGAATTTTTTTGAAGAAGAGTAGAAATGAAAGTCTTTATTGTAGCCTGAAAGGGGAGCCACTATGAGGCAAGTTTTAGGTTTAGAATCTCTATTTATTGTAATGTTTCCTGTGTAACTCTAGGGTAAGCCACTTAACTTTCTTTTGACATACTTTAATATGTGTATAATTATAGAATAAGGTAATACTTATTTTGAAACAACTCTGTATTTTTCAGAATAATGCATTTTAAGAACAGGAAGCATAGCCGTTATTCTCATCATTATATAGTGTTCTGTGATAATTATCCAATTTGGTTATAAATGACAGAATATATAATTTATTATGTGAGTGTAGACATAAATGACGTTGTTGTGTTAAAGGACTGTGCTCTGTCTCTCCCCACCCTGAAACCTAATTGTATATATATATATATACAACTATGTGATAAACAAGTAAAGAAGAACAAGATGTGGAGAAGTGCTATGTAACATGCTGAGCATAGCATCACTTGTGTTCAGGTAGAAGCACCGGCAGTGCACGGGAGCCCAAGTTACTGTTGATGCTCTATTTTGATGTTTTAGGTTCCAACAGTTGACCTTTTCTCTGAGCAAAACTATTGTAAGATTAAGAAGGTTATGTAGAAAGTGGCATATTCTACAGCCAAGTATATAGACATTGGGGAAAACAAAATGACCAGTGTTTCTTGGAAATGAAAGTTTTATCCAGTGCTAGTTTTGCTCTATAATTTAAAATATCCATAACTTTTTAAAAATAGTAAAAGTGGGCATCTTTTAAAATATTAAGTGATGTGATTAGGTATTTCTTTATTAATATTTTATTTGCAATTTATTTTTACAATGAGCATTTACTTTTTTAATAATTAGGAAGAGAAAGTAGTTTTAATAAAAATAATGCTGTCTATTTAAAAAATATTTTGACATTTCACTAAACAGTTTTTGTTCTTTCTATAAGTAACATTATATAGTTTTGTCTTAAAACTATTTTGCTTTGATGATAGTTTATATGATTTTCATAATATTAGTTATTTTAGCTAGTTTTTCAGAGAAATTTGATGACCTTCTACTTATGATATTAGATGTTCTTATTTTTGCTTCAACACAATTGGTTTGAAGTGTTATTTGCTGAATTTGAAATGGATATCAATCACTGTAAGGTTTTTTATGCACCACTGATGACACCTTCTAGCATTTTTTCCCACATCTTTAACAAAAGGATGACCCTGCATTTCATAGATTAGCAGGATTCTATTTTCAGTCCCCCCATCTAAAAAGGTCATATCTATAACTTTTTAATGGTAATTTTATTCTATTCTTATATATGTTTAGAGGCCCAGTGCACAAATTCGTGCACATTGAAAGGAAATTAATTAGAAGGTGGCTGGAGGGGCGGGACTGGGCGAGTCTGGCCAGACATGCCCTGGAGCCAACCTCCCATGGTCCCTCTACAGCTAGCTGCACCTGGTGTAGCCAGGGCTCGAAGGGCATCTGCAGAGTGAGCGGGGTCCCTCTGGCAGTTGGGGTCCCTCGGCCTGGCCTGCAGGGACCAGGCCAAAACTGGCAGTCCAACATCCCCCAAGGGGTCCCAAATTGCGAGAAGGCGCAGGCCAGGCCTTGGGACCCACCGGTGCATTTGTGCTCTGGGCCTCTAGTATGCATATAAGACTTTTGGTTAATCTCTTCCCTCCCTCTCCCCTCCCCTCTTCCCTCTGAGATTCATTAGTCTGTTCCATGTTTCCATGCCTGTGGTTTCCGCTCCTGTGTTGAGCGTCTGCTCCCTGGTGGTCAGTGCGCGTCATAGCTACCAGCCAGTCAGCCAGGCAGCCGGTCACTTAGGCTTTTACTAGTATATATATATATACTAGTAGATTGCCCATGAAGGTGAAAATATCACAGTAATAAATCTAGCAAGTGTCTGGTGTGTCTGATAGATATTAAACATAAAACACATATAGGATATCAGTACCTTCACCATAGTAAATGGGACCATATTAATTTTTGAGATTCTAAAATTTATAGATGATAAATATCAAGAAACATAGCACATAGAGTAAAATTTATTGAATGGTAGTATTTGCTAAAATTCTAAAACTTTCCCAAATGCTACTTTATTCAAGAGAAATCACTTTTATCTTTGACTTTAAAAATTTGACTCCAATTTTATTTTATGTTTTCTACTTAAGCAAGTGTAAATATGGTTGATGTCAGTTAAAAGTGCCCGAATAAACTTTATAAATTCAAAAGTTGTGGCATTATTTTAGTTGAGAGGCCCCCACAAACACAAAATCAAGTATAAATGTATATAGCCTGTTCATTCAAACTCAAAATATAGCCCTGGCCAGTGTGGCTCAGTTGTTTGGGCATCGTCCCATGCACCAAAAGGTTGCTGGTTCGATTCAGGGTCAGGGCACATGCCCAGGTTGTGGGTTTGGTCCCCAATAGGGGGCATCCAGGAGGCAGAGGGTGGATGGTTCTCTCTCACGTTAATGCTTTTCTCTCTTCCTCTCTCTAAAAACCAATAAAATATCTTTAGAAAAAAATGTCAGACTATATCTTTGAACGCAGTGCAGACTGTAGCAAGCAGTGACTAGT